AGTCAGAATAGTAATATATTATGTTCATATACAAATTGCACAAAATCATTTCCATCCATGAAAGGATTAATTGTGCATTTAAAATCTCATAACATTAATATCGAGCCCACAATGTTAAATTTTAATTCTATAGAAGGTATATTAATTTATAATTACATTATATATCTGTTAACAATTATTATTGCTAACTTATTGTTTTCTATGTACTCAGTGATTTAGCTTAAAGTATTTGTTTTTACTTTTGATGGACATGTATGTATAATTATTACAAAATTTTTCAGTCACTATTGCGAAATATCGTTCCTCATAAAATGTTTGTTCAGTATTAATACTTTTTAAATGTTATAGGTGATTTATGTTTGGTTTATATTTCCTGTGATTTGGCTGTGTGATTGGTTTTTCATCCATATTATGACTCAGTTATTATTTATACTCTTAAAAACTCTAATTTAATTGTTTTCTGATAAAATTGAAGATGAGTGAAGGATGCAACCTTCATTTGTTAAAACATTTGAAGCATATTTAAGTATATTTATTGATGGCAAAATGGCAATCATACTGTTACTGTGAACATGTATTATTATCAGTGTTGAATAAGTTACTTTTTAAAAGTAACTAAGTTACGTTACAAGTTACAAAATAAAATAGGTAACTAGATCACTTGTTAGTTACTCAAGTTCAAAAGTAATGTGTGAATTACAGCCACTATTGGTAAGTATCGTTCCTTATAAAATGTTTGTTCAGTATTAATATCGTTTAAATGTTATAGGTCAAATATTAACATTTCTTGTGATTTGGCTGAAAATATTGGCTTTTACTTTTGATGTTATTGTGGACATGTATGTATTTTTATAATAATATTTCATAAAGGAACTGAATTTTTCAGTTATGTAAATGTAAGTTAATAACTAAAAGAGTATAGCTTAATTAAATATCAAATTAACAGATTTTAACAAATGGAAAAAAAATATAGAAGATGAAGAAGAGTGCCAATATGTCAAGTTGTCATCAAAAAAAAAAAATTTAAATAAAGAGTATGTATACTATTTTTGCCACAGATCATTTGGACCAAGAACTTCAAACAAAGTAAGATATTTAACATAAAATGTACTTAACCAATTTGTGATTAATAAAACCAATCATTAAACAGGGACACAAATGTACAAAAAGTGGTGGATCCGTAAAAACTGGCCATGTTTGCCCTTCCAACATGAAAGTACACATAGACAATAAACAAATTAATGTACAATATTATAGTACACACTTATGGCATACCAAGGATATAGGAAAACTAAGATTGTTCAATGAAGATAGGAGTAAGATTGCTGGTAACTTATATGAATCATTAAACAAATATAAAGTTATTTATGTTCATAATTATATAACATATCATATATGATTAATAGATTATGTCGATATAACCTTTCAATATTTTTAATAGGAAAATTATCCTTGGGTGTTCCAGTCAACAGAATTTTGCAAGATGTTCGATCATCAAACATTGAGATGGATAGTATTAAAAGAATTCATTTGCTAGAAAAAAAAGATATCTACAATATCAAGCGTGATTTTAATATTTCATACTCAACAAAAAAACACCAAAATGATGCGATAAGTGTAGATCTTTGGGTAAAAGAAATGATGAAAAAAGGTGATGAAAGTCCAATTTTATATTATAAGCAACAAGGAGTTAATGATAATTGTGTTCCATGCTTCACTTTGAATGATTTTTGTCTTGTAATAATGACTCAATTTCAATCTGAGTTATTATTAAAATTTGGAAAGGACAAAGTATGTTTAGATGGTACACATGGACTAAATGGGTATAACTTCCAACTGTACACTGTAGTTGTAGTAGATGAATACGGAAATGGATATCCCGTAGCCTTTTGTTTTTCCAATCGATCTGATACTAACATATACAGCCACTTTTTTCGGTGTATCAAAAATATAACTGGTAATATTAATGCAAACATTTTTATGTCTGATGATGAACCGGCATTTTACAACGCATGGAATGCTGTAATGGGACCTGCAGGCAAACAGCTATTGTGTACTTGGCATGTATTAAGGAACTGGGCAAAAAATTTAAGAAAGATTCACTCAAATGAAAAACAAAATATTGTATTTAAAACTTTAAAAGCTTTGTTATACGAAACAGACGAAAATAATTTTGTGATTGAGCTGCAAAAGGTATTAGATGATCTTCTAAATGATGAAGATACAGCAGATTTTGGAAAGTACTTTAAGACTACATATTCACAGAGAGCAGAAAAGTGGGCCTATTTTAATAGAAAACATGTTGGTATTAATACTAACATGTACCTTGAAGCACTCCATAAATCAATAAAATATTGTTATTTAGAAGGCAAAAGCTGCAAACGTTTAGATTTATCGATTAATGCCCTAATGTCATTGGTAAGAGACAAAAGTTTTGAAAGAATCATTAAAATTTCAAAACAAAAAATGTCTTATAAACTGACACAAATTATTGCAGCTCACAATAAAAGTACAAAAATCACACCGGATATGGTTGTTGAAGTTAATGGTAATTGGTTGGTTAATTCCGAGACGGACATAAATATTCAATATAGAGTCGAAAAAACCACAGTATCATGTGATTGTCTACTACGATGTAATATCTGTAAAATATGTGTACACACTTATAAATGTACTTGCATGAATAATGTTATTTATTTTAACATTTGTAAACATATACATGCATGTGCTAAACAACAGACTGCATCAGATTCAGAAACAGTAGAAAATGAAAACCAGTATTTGCCATTACCATGTGATTTAGTTGTCGATAATGGGTTTTTACAAAAACAAGAAATATTGAAGCAAAATGAAAATATAATGGAAAACAATGAAGAAATTAAAAACAAATTAGAAATGATACTTGGTATGCATAGTCGAGCAAATATGAACGAAGAAGATCAGATATATATAATTAGACAGTGCGATAACATATTGACAACGTTAGGAAAAAATATAGATTTTAAAAAAACATCAAACTTAGAATTGGCCAGAAAAAGAAAAATTGAACCGCAAGCAAGATTTATTTCAAAAAAAAAGTACCAAATCAACATCTATCAACTTTATCATCAATTGAGGGTACACAAATTAGAGAGTCATTGAAAAATTCCACCGAATTTTTAACTATAAGTACTACACCAGCGTTCGATCATTCATACTTGTGAACAATATTTTATTATTTAATTATGATTTATTTTAACATTTATAATTTTATAATTTTTTTTTTTTACATTTATATGATGATTTACAACATGACGATGTTAAACTTACAATTTTTTAAACAGGAAACTTATTTTAAATTATTATTATTATAACTGTAGACTGCATGTTTGTATTGACAATTTTTTAAAACTTGAAACTTATTTGAAATTATTATTATTATAACTGTAGACTGTATGTTTGTATTAACATTTTTTTAAAACTTGAAACTTATTTGAAATTATTATTCTTATTATTGTATGTTTGTATTGACAATTTTTTAAAACTTGAAACTTATTTGAAATTATTATTATTATAACTGTAGACTGTATGTTTGTATTGACAATTTTTTAAAACTTGAAACTTATTTGAAATTATTATTATTATAACTGTAGACTGTATGTTTGTATTGACAATTTTTTAAAACTCGAAACTTATTTGAAATTATTATTATTATAACTGTAGACTGTATGTTTGTATTAACATTTTTTTAAAACTTGAAACTTATTTGAAATTATTATTCTTATTATTGTATTGTGACAAATTTTTAAAACGTAGTTAAAAATTATAAATTGTTCAATTTTTATAGCTAAGGATTGAAAATTTAAAACAACGATTTTAAATTTAAGTTCAAATTTGGAAGAAATTATAGTTATTGTAAAACAAATTTATAATATGAATATAAATCATTATTATTATTATAAAGCAAAATATAAAAATTTGGTTTTTACTTTCATGGTTTTTTTTCCCTTGGTCCTTTTTTTCCTTTTATTTTTATTTTTTGGTTTTAATTATGTGTAATTATATTTAATAATGATTGATGAATAAAATAAAATAATACAAAATATAATAAATAATCAAAAATTCAAATCACATTATCATCGTTTTTTTATCAACGATAACTGATAAGATGATAGGGATTAGACTAGACGTGATTCACTCTGGTGGACATTTTTGACACCATGGATCACAAAAAATTTTTTCCTGCGAAGATCCAATCGTCTATACCTCACGTGTAACGAGTATGTAGCAAACATATGAAGAGGGCATGTAGCTACTGCGCATGCGTGCATTTTTATTTTGGCTTTATCAGTTATTCCATTATCTACTATCTAGTATCTAATACATTAAACATTTAGTATTTTAGTATTTTACTTATATATTTTTGAAAGACGTATATAAATTTATATTTTTCTAAAACTTTAAACTACGATGTATACAATGGTGTATTTTTGTTTTTATTACATTTTAAAACAACGTTGATTATGATTTAGAAATATGAATAGTTGCATTGTAAATAAATAAACCTATTTAATTAGTAAAAATGCATAATTATCTTTTCTTTATATTATCTTAGTTTGGTTAATTACATTATGAATAATGAACATGTAATATAAAATCAGTTAATACTTAATACATACACATTCAGTGGCGTGCCTAGGATTTCAAAATGGGGGGGGGTTCAAAGAAGGTCCGAATTATCACTATTGTAGGTCCTAGAATCTAGACTTAAGTACTGAGCAAAAAAAAAAAATAAAAGTAGGTTATCAGAAACGAAGTACTATAATATTATATATTATAGTATTATACTAATATAGTAAGCTACTAATAAGGCACTACACAAGAACAAAAGTAAATTTTAACTGTATATCACATGGTTATACATTGTTATTGATTAAAAAAAAAATATTGTCAGACTTTTAAATATGCTTGTTATAAATTATAATATTATCTTATGTACAAGATGAAAAAAATTAATCTAGTCAAAAGTTTAATTTTCTGGCATTAGCTGATAATAAGTTTAAAACATTTTCAGATGTAACTTTAATTTCTTGGTGTATATTTAGAAGCGCCAAACCATTCAATCTATTTTCTGATGTTGTATTTCTAAGGTATGTTTTTAAACGCTTTAAAGTAGAAAATGATCTTTCTCCTGATGCTGTAGTTACAGGAAGGGTTATAAGGTATTTTAAAAGTTTATGAACTGTGGGGAAAACATTTTCATCACACTGAAGATATGTGTCAATTGCATTTTCACTTTTGAGATTTGTACAATATTTTCTCTATAATTTCAACTCTCCTATAGCTCCAAGTTCAGTAGTTTCAATATCAACCATATATGCCCTAATTAAGTTTATTATTTCATCCTCTCCATCATTTAAAATTGATGAACTTAGTTTCGCTGGTAGAAGACAACTAAAGTTTTTTAGTAAATTTTTGTGTTGTAAGAATCTGTCATGAAGCTGTGTTAAAAAACTATCTAAGAAAGGAATAAAAACTGTCAATCTATAAAATTCTTCAATAGATTTTTCATTTAAACCCATTTGCTTGTTAGATTGTATTTGTGTTCTTGTTAAATCAAAACTGATGTTTAAATTTAATTCCTTACACCAATTATTTACTTTTAGAAATTCTTTTGAAAACTCTTCAATTACGTTATCTCTGTATGAATTTATTGTACTCTCAACACAACTTGCGAATTGGAGAGCTTGAACAAGATCAATATTCTCTGTCTGCAATTGACGGCTCAGAGGAAGACTAATAGCAAATATTTTTCCAATAATATGAATAGATATTATAAATTCTGATTTTGTTATGGCATCAAAAAGTCTATTTGCTTTAGATGATGCTTCTATGTCCAACCATATACTAATCTTTTCAAGAGCATCAATAACTGCTGAAAACAATTCAATTAAAAGTATTACTGAATCATGCCGTTCAACCCATCTAGTTGTACAAAGAATTTTCAGTCGAGTTGCTTTTACTTCAGGTAGTTTTAATTTGATAGATTCAGTCAAAGTATGTTGTCTTTTAGGTGTTCGAAAAAATGTGCAAACTTCTTGAATTGTTCCCATGGTGTTTCGTATAGCTTTAACATTACAAGCAAATGATATTGCTAAATTCAAACTATGAGAACTGCAGTGTATGTAAGGGGCAAGTGGGAATTTTTTAAATATGTGTGCTTGAACCCCATTAAACTTCCCACTCATTGAAGCAGCGCCATCATACCCTTGTCCCTTTAAATAACTTAAATTTAACGATAAACTTTCAAGGGTTTGTATTATCTTATTAGCTAACCCTTTTCCAGTAACATCATGTACATGAGTAAATGTTAAGAATTCTTCCACAATTTGTTTTTTTTCTTTATCAAAATATCTAACAGAAAGAGATAGTTGCTCAATGCCTGCAACATCTGTTGTCTCATCAGCAAGTACTGAAAAACTTTGGCACTTATTCACTTTGTCTACAATTTTACTTTGGATTATTTGACCACATATTTGAATAATTTCATTTTGCATCTTACCGCTGAGATATGTTGCATTTTAGCACAATCATTTAAATGTTCAGCCAATTTTGTATCACCACCTAAAGCTCTATACCTTAGTAAGGCCCGAAAGTTTCCCTCATTTTGTGTAGGTTCAGCAGTTAAATCAATTGTTCCAGAATCTCTGTGGCCTCTGATAGCAATTCCTTGGCGACCACACAGTATAATTGTTTCAATAATCGGTCTGATCTTATTTCTATTATTTTGTATAGTTGTCTTTAAATTGTTGTCAATCATTACATCCACAGCAGGTTTTTTATTAGTAAAAACCGCAATAAGATTATTAGCACACATTAAAGCAGTTTTATGATATTCAGAATGCTCATGGGAATTAAATTTTTCAAATGAATTTTTCCAATTGTTAAACTTTACAAGTACAAGTTTCCCAAGTTGTTGATGTCCTCTTCCACCTTCTGTGTATCCAAATAAAACACATATTTTACAGTATACACCATCTTCTATTTTTGAATAAACAAGCCATTTCCATCTGTTTAACCAATTAAATTGAAATCTTAAATTTCTTTTCCCAGAAGTTGGAAATCTATAGCTGAAATTAGGATTCCAATCTTCTTTGTTTAACAACTCAAATCTTGTCTTTGAATCAATCTAAAAATAATATTTTATATTATAGTTTTACACTTAAATAAATTTCTTTTTTAAATGCATTTTTATTTACTAATGTTTTGAGTGAAAAATGTAAAGCAAAGATCAGTGAATTTGTGTATTTTACAGGTTATTTTAAATATAATGTATAGTACATAGTTTTACTAAAAGCAAAAAATAAGATACAATCATATGAAGAAGCTGCTAATCATTCCAATTACAATAAATTACAATCCAATTACAATCCAATTACAATTATTTAAAATAATATAGTTCATAACTGAACGTTAGAATACAATATTAACACAGTAATAATACAATAATAATAAAACAATACAATATATTTAAATACAAACAATTTTGTTTACACAATTATTAAATAATTCAATGGAATTAAAATTAAATAAATCAATTTTTAAATCATTTGCTATTGATAGGAGAAGCAGAAACATAATTAGTTTTATGTGTAAAAACATAAAACATAGTGGTTGATCTAGTTCTACACTGAGGGATATTATTAATATTAACCTAACAATAAAAATTTTATTTTATTTTATAAAGTTTCACTCAAATTCAAATTAAACTATAATCATTAATTAAAAAAAAAAATTTAATTTATTATTATTAATTATTAATTTTACCTTCCTGGCTTTTGGTCCAACATATAAGCTAATATCATAAGAACAAACAATTTGTTCTGTACTTAATTCATTTGTACATTCAATTCTAACTTCATTTAAAATTGTCTAAAACAAACAATATAAATAATATTTAGTGTAATCATAAATAATAAAAATATACCTAGCATAGTTTTTAGTTATATTACTGATAGATAGATTACTATTACCTATATGGCTATATGAATATATTATTTTATTATTTTCATAACATTTGTTTATATTTAACTTTGGTACTTACATCATTTATAGAAACTAAATTAGAACTAGAAGTGGAAATATTGTTTTTTGAATTATACTGTAGTTGTGGGTTTTCAGGTATCTGAAGCAATAAAATAATATATACATAATTAAATAATTAGGTACCTCACCAAAAATTTTTAAAACTCAAATTAAATTCTCACTTCTTGAGGATCATCTTCATCTCCAGAAGTTTTCAATCTTTTAGGTTCCACTTTGAAATAACTCAAAAGTGATCTTTTTGTAGATTCACTCATTTCAACTACTATAGCAAACACTAACTCTAATCACTAAGTACTAACTAAATCAAGGTGGAATGGTTCAATGGTGGATTAATACTTATTACTTAATACAATATTATTCACCTTGCACTAATGACGAAGACACGAATATAACTATATGATAAAATTATATTGATAATATCAATATAATTATGAATGATATGATAATTATAATAATATCTCACTCTAAGAAACTCACACATGTCAGAGACAATTTAAGCCGTCTAAATTTAACTTATTCTGTGGCGAGTTGTTCCGCTGCTGATAACGATTCGTATCAGTGAATTTGTGTATTACCACAGAATAATTTAGATAGGTTGCGCATCGACGTATGTTAAGCTTACTGACCAAGTGACTATGCAATGTACTAACATAAACTGACTGACAGTAAGTGCCATCTAGCGTTGACGCCTATAAGTTTTACTAAATCGTGCTAAAACAGTAATTTTATTTTGCAATGATTTTAATTATGACTATTGTTAAATTTTTTTTAATCTCTCTAGGTATCTCAAACCTCAATATTATTCACTGAGTGTCTCTTCCACTTTAGGTCTTTGCACATTGTCAACCATTTACTATTCTACGAACTACAATATTAACGTTGTTTAATTTTATTACATACTAACTAGGTACATATTTACAACACATTTTTATAGGAAATCTTTTTTAAAATAAATCAACCAAATAAATTCGTTATATATTATATTATTTTAATTAGATACTTAAATAGTAAATTACAACTAACACAAAAAGAATAAACATGACATATGCAATTTAAATTAGTTGGATAAGTAAATGATTAAGAATTTATAATAATAATAATACTTGTAAAATACTGAAATCTTAAAAATATATTTAATTAATTAATCCTCTAATATGAAGAATTAATAATACCAATCTAAAAGTTAAATTTCTAATTTACAAAACCCTCCTGAAACCTATTTGGACTTATGGCATACAGCTCTGGGGTTCAGAAAAAAAATCCAATATCAATAAAATACAAGTATTCCAAAACCTAGCTCTTCGACGAATCTCCAATGCACCACTGTACGTCTCAAACCCAACATTACATAATGATTTTCAAATGAAAACCATCAACGAAGAAGCCAAATTCTTTTACTCGCGACTCCTATCCCACCAAAATTCTCTTATTAAAAACCTCTCCTCTCTAACTCTCTCAGGAAATCCAAGGCGCAGGCTAAAAAGGAAATGGTGTCGTGACCTCCTACAACTCCCAATTTAAAATATACAATATACATATTTAATATGTATAAATAATCATTTGATTAGGAGTTAACTAATTTTGATAATTTTTTTTTTTTTTGTTTTGTTTTTTTGTTTGTTGATTAGCCATGTATGAATATTGCCTCATACGCATTGTAATGTACATTACAAATATAGTGGTCATGTTGTAGGCAAATACGATGAGATTTTTTTAATGTCATCCCTAAACTTTCTTCCCATTTATTACGCTCGCTTTCAATTTTTGGAACACCAAATGACGTTTTGGATTGCTCGTGAGGTTTACGAATACAACGATAGTTATAATTAGACATTTTAAAAAAATTTAATTTAAATATAATATAATATACACTGTGTTAAATATTAAATCTACAACTCAATCATTTAATAGGTACTGTTTAAATTAATGTCATTCAACATTCAACTAGTCATTAGGACTGTTTAATCTAAATAATAATCAACTAATCAAGGTTTATTTGATAATTAAAAATTAAAAAGTGATTTTGTGAAATAAAAAAACCGTGGAGCTTATTCCGTCCAGAAAGGAATATACTATAGAATATAGATTATGAATATTACCGCTAGATCACGTTATGTGCCAGTAAGTTTTTGTAAGCGCTTTCTCATGCCACTTTTTTTCGTTCGACGCGCAACCAGTCTATCTTAAACCGTGGTATTACCACAGAATAATTTAGATAGTACTATCTTAAATCGTGAATTCGTGATTATGACCAGTATAGCATAGAATTTAAAAAACATAACTATTATGAATATTGAATGACAAGTGAATACGACGTGTAATATAAAATACTATTATATAATTTTCTTGATCCGATGGGGGGGGGTTTAACCCCTATCCTCCCCCCCTGGGCACGCCACTGTACACATTAATACATTATACAAACCGGTATGACCTGCACAATATAGGTACATTATAATATAACATATAAC